CTCCCAAAGTGCTGGGATTATAGGCATGAGCCACCACGCCCGGCCTATGATTAATAATTTTTATCTGCTAGTTTTATCATTTGCTGTGAGAAGTATGTTAAAAGTCTGCCACTTGTGATAGTGAATTTGTTTTTCTGTTTTCTTGTGTATATTTTGAGGCTATGTTAGTAGTATGTAGAAAATTAGAATTATATTTTCCTGTTGAATTCAACTTTATCATAATGAAGTGGGTCTTATCCCCAACAGTGCCTTTTTATTGTACATATTTAAGTTTTATACCATGCTGTCTTGATATACATATCCACAGTGAAATGATTACTTATAGTTAAGCAAATTAATCTATCACCTTCTATAGTTGCGTGTGTGTTGGGGTGGGGGGGAGCTAAAATCTACTCTTAGCAAATTTATGGTATATAATGTCATTAACTATAGTCCTCATGCTGTACATTATATTTCTAGATTTCGTCATCCGACATAATTGCAGGCTTGTACCCTTTGACTTACTTCCCTGGGAAAAAGAGAGACACCACCCTGCCTCAAAACGAAATGAAACAAAATATCTTTTAAGAAATCCTCATTCTTGATAGATTTTTAAATTTTGATCATAACATTTTAGATGAGCAGCTTTTTTATTTCAGCCTTTTAAAGATGTAATTTCACTGCTTCCATGGCTGAGAAGTCAGCTCTAAGTCTTACTGTTGCTCTCTTGAAAGTAATTTGTCCCTTTTTCTCTAGTTGTCTTTCATGGACTTTGAAAATTTCTCAGCCACTGCTTCTTCAGATTTGCTTCCATTATTTCTTTCATCGGCCTGCTGATACTCTAACTGCAAGTATGTTAGATCTTCTCACTAAATCTTCTATACCTCTTACCATTTCTTGTAGACTTTCCATCCTTTTCCTCTTCATGCTTTATTCTGTGATTGTCTTCTAATCTATCTTCCACTTCACAAATTTTCTCTTCAGTTGGGTCTTAAAATTTACCAAACTTATTGAGTTCTTAATTTTGATTACTATATATTTTTAATTCTAGAACTTTTTGTCTCTTTTATGTAGTTTCTAGTTTGCTGTCTAAATCCTCAATCTTTTATTTTCTTGAAAAAAATAACAGCACATGTTATGTATCTTCTGTTCAGCTCTATGGCTATATCTTTACCCTCTCCACTCTGCTGTCTCTCCAGGAAACTGATCTGCATGAACTGTATCAATGGATTTTCTTGTCGTCTAGCTTCTAGCTGTGTTTGGCTAAAGGAAGGTACCAGTAGGACCAGAGGGAAGGAGGAAAGTGAGATTCAGTACTGATCTACCCGATCTCTTCCTGTGGGGTCACTGTGGGCTGGCCACATTCCCTGACCATTGACTCTCTGTCTTTAGATTCTGATAGCTCCTCCCTCCCTGCAACTCTTCAAGCCTACAGGTGGTAAAGGCTTCTCCTTGTTAATAGTCCCAGCAATTAATACATTTCTTTGTTAAAGAATAATATTATCCCTCATATTATCATAGTTTGATGGTTTCATCTGTGCCTGGTTGGAAACCTGACTGACACAACATGTTTATATCATAAAAGCTTTTTGGCCTTTCGGCCAGAACCGCCATCTTCCAGTAATTCGCCAAAATGACGAAGACAAAGGGAAAGAGAAAAGGCACTCAATATATGTTCTCTAGGCCTTTTAGAAAACATGGAGTTGTTCCTTTGGCCATGTATATGCGAATCTATAAGAAAGGTGATATTGTAGACATCAAGGGAATGGGTACTGTTCAAAAAGGAATGTCCCACAAATGTTACCATGGCAAAACTGGAAGAGTCTACAATCTTACCCAGCATGCTGTTGGCATTGTTGTAAACACATTAAGGGCAAGATTCTTGCCAAGAGAATTAATGTGCGTGTTGAGCACATCAAGCACCCTAAGAGCTGAGATAGCTTCCTGAAACGTGTGAAGGAAAATGATCAGAAAAAGAAAGAAGCCAAAGAGAAAGGTACCTGGGTTCAGCTGAAGCGCCAGCCTGCTCCACCCAGAGAAGCACGCTTTGTGACAACCAGTGGGAAGGAGCCTGAGCTGCTGGAACCTCTTCCCTGTGAATTCACAGCATAATAGGTGTTAAAATAAATAAATAAATAAAAGACCTCTGGACTGTTAAAAAAAAATGTTTTTGGTTATTTAAATAGTTAGACTCTATGCAGATCTGTAAGTCTTCATGTGGGTCTGTTTCTACTGTCCTTGTTTCTTCTATTTTGTTAGTAATAGTTTCTGTTTCATGTGGCTATTTTTTATTTTTTTATTTTTATGTGTTTATTTTTTTGAGACCGGG